TAGAGTCATTTGGTACTAGGTTGACTTAGCTATTAAATACCAACTTTGCTAGAGGTTGAAAAATGAATAGCAAGAAAATTTATTATTACTGGTTTGCAATCTTCAGAATGTTTTTGTCTTTAGTGACTTCCAGGGGGACAAATCAGTTTCCCTTATTAGGTATATTATTTTGCTTGGGCTGTGTAGCATTGTACCATAAAAGGGGTAGCTTAAGCAACAGAAATTTATTGTTGCCTGGTTCTTGAGGCTAGAAGTCCAAGATCAAGGTGTTGTCAAGGTAATTCCTTCCAATGGCTGTGAGAAAGATAATCGATTACATGCCTCTCTCCTAGCTTGTGGTGGTTTGTTGGTAATCTTTGGTATACTTTGGTTTATAGATGCGTCATCCTGATCCCTGTCGTCATCTTCATGTGGTGACCTCCCTATGTATGTTTCTGTCTTTATGTCCAAAGTTTCCTTATTTATAAAGACACCAGTCATATTGGATTAGAGCCTATCCTAATGACCTCATTTAACTTGATAATCTGCAAAGACCTTATTTCCAAATAAGGTCACATTCACAGGTACTGAGGGTTAGGACTTCAACATATTTTTTGGGGGACACCATTCAACTCATAACAGTAGGCAACTTTTTCTGAGATAATAGATTTGAAAACTCTTTAATAGTGATCAATGTTTGCAGTTTATGAATTCATTGGTATAATTATATGCATGTCTGCCCATAAGTGAGTCAGGTCTGAATATTCATTTTGGAATAGGACTGATTTTACCGTAGTATTCTTAAAACACTGTAGGAAGAACAGACTGGAGAAGTATTTAGGAAGGATTTCAATAAATGATACGATGGAGTGTCACAGTGTATGGAGCAGATAATGAGCTTTTGGAAATTCAAGTACAAAATCAGTATAGCTGGTGGTATGATGAAGTTGGGGTTTAGACAGATATTCAGAGCAAGAGGATGCTATAGAAACAGAGAGGTTATGGGTTGAGGTTCTGTTGTAGGAATGTGTATTTTATGTAGAGTGGGCCATGGTGATAAAGGGAGGCTTTGGGCCAGTTATATTGTGAAGGAATCCTGGCTCTGGCCCTTTAGAGTTAAGGCCAATTTTAATTTTTAAGTTTCAAGAAATTCCTGTAGGATTTATTTTTAATTTTACTGTGTAGACAATTTGAAATATATCATTAACAAGAAAAACATGACCTATATCTCTACTACCCAGTGCTAGTTGTTATTAACATTTTGGCATCTTGCTACAATTCTTATGAAATTCCTGCCATGCTTTTTGATTGAGATTATACCACCTAAATAGTTTACTAAAATAAATCAACACCTGTTTCTAAATATGTATCTGAATTTGAGACCCGTTGGGGAACAGACCTAATGACCACTGATGATGAATCGGGTCACCATAATTCCATAAACCATTAGGTCAAGACAGTTTTGTCTCATGTGATTTAGTCCTTTGCCTTGTCCTGTTGTCCTTCCTCCTGTCTTTCACACTACTGCCAAGATCTTTTTAATGATTACATCACTCCTCTGGCTTACCTCCTTTAGTCAGACCGAGGTCCAGCTATTTAGCATAATAGGCATCTCTGTGATCTTTTTCATGCCTTTTTCTTCTCATTTTATACTTTCCAAAAAGCTTTTAGAATTTCTCAGAATATTGTGTACCCTTTTGCACCTCTATAATTTTTCACCTCTCCCCTGCACTAAGAATGTCTTCTTTCTTTTTGTCCCTCTGTTCAATGGCTGTTATTTTTTAAATACTCATTTCACATGACATTTCTTCTCTAAAGCCTTTATTCTAAGCCAGTTTTCTTTTAGTATCTGTAGCACTTTCTAGAAAAGTGGCTATAAACTGATGACAGGGTATCATAGTGACTAATTTCCTTCTTTATCTTTCTTATTTTTTTCTTTTTAAAGAAAGTTTAATTTAAATTCTAGTTGTTAACAGAGTGTAATATTAGTTTCGGGTGTACAGTATAGTGATTCAGCACTTCCATACAATACCTGGTGTTCATCAAAACTTGTGCACTCCTTAATCCCCATCACCTATTTCACCTATCCCCCCTCCCATCTCCCCTCTGGTAACCATCAACTTGTTTTCTGTAGGTAAGGGTATGTTTCTTGGTTTGCTTCTCTCTCATTTTCTCCTTTGCTTGTTTGTTTTTTTAATTAAATTCCACATATGAGTGAAATCGTATGGTATTTGTCTTTTGCTGACTGACTTATTTTGCTTAGCATAATCCTCTATTCTATCCATGTTGTTGTAAATGGCAAGATTTCATTTATTTTTCATGACTAAGTAATATTCCATATTGTGTGTGTGTGTGTGTGTGTGTGTGTGTGTGTGTGTATACCACATCTTTTTTCTTTTTTTAGTTTCAAGCCTTAAATACTAGTTACAGTGTTACAGGCTTTAAGTTCCAATGTTCGTTTCAGGAAAAGGATTTAGTGACTCATCACTTACATATGACACCCAGCACTCATCACAACAAGTGCCTTCCTTAATAATCATCGCCCTTTTAACCCATTCCATCACCCACTTCACCTTCAGCAACCCTAAGTTTGTTTTCTATGGTTAGGAGTCTGTTTTATGGTTTGCCTCTCCCACCACCTCCCCGACCCATGTTCATCTGTTTGGTTTCGTAAATTCCACATATGAGTGAAATCATATAGTATTTGTCTTTCTCTGACATATTTCATTTAGCATAATACATTCTAGCTTCATCCACATCATTGCAAATGGCAAGATGTCATCCTTTTTGATGGTGAGTAATATTCTATTGTATATATGCACCACAACTTCTTTATTCATTCATCAGTCGATGGACATTTGGGCTGTTTCCATAATTTGGCTATTGTTGATGATGCTGCTTTAAACATCGAGTTGGGTGTATTCCTTCAAATCAGTATTTTTGTATCCTTTGGGTAAATACCTAGTAGTGCAACTGCTGGATCATAGTGTAGTTCTATTTTTACTTTTTTGAGGAACCTCCACACTGTTTTCCAGAGTGGCTACACCAGTTTGCATTCCCACCAACCATGTAAGAGGGTTCCCCTTTCTCTGCATCCTTGCCAACATCTGTAGTTTCCTTTGTTATTAATTTTAGCCATTTTACAGGTGTGAAGTGATATCTCATTGTAGTTTTGATTTGCATTTCTCTGATGATGAGTGATGTTGAGCATCTTTTCATGTGTCCGTTAGCCATCTGAATGTCTTCTTTGGAAAATGTCTATTCATGTCTTCTGCCCATTTCTTCATTGAATTATTTGTTTTTTTTGGGTGTTGAGTTTACTAATAAGTTCTTTATAGATTTTGGATCTATTAGATGTGTCATTTGCAATTATCTTCTGCCATTCTGAACATTGTCTTTCAGTTTTGTTGATTGTTTCCCTTGCTGTGCAGAAGCTTTTTATCTTGATGAAGTCCCTTTAGTTCATGTTTGCTTTTGTTTCTTTTGCCTCAGGAGACATATCTAGTAAGAAGTTGCTGTGGCTAATGTCAAAGAAGTTGCCACCTGTGTTCTCCTCTATGATTTTTATAGTTTCATGTCTCACATTTAGGTCTTTCATCCCTTTTGAATTTATTTTTGTGTAGGGTGTAAGAAAGTGGTCCAGTTTCATTCTTTTGCATGTCGCTGTCCAGTTTTATCAACACCATTTGTTGAAGAGACTTTTTTCCTTTGGATATTCTTTCCTGCTTTGTCAAAGATTAGTTGAGAATATAGTTGTGGGTCCATTTCTGGGTTTTCTATTCTGTTCTGTTGATCTGTGTGTCTGTTTTTATGCCAGTACCATACAGTCTTGATGATTACAGCTTTGTAATATACCTTGAAGTCTGGAATTGTGATGGTTCCAACTTTGCTTTTTTTTTTTCAAGATTGCTTTGGCTATTTGGGTCTTTTGTGGTTCCATACAAATTTCAGGATTGTTTGTTCTAGCTCTGTGAAAAATGCTGTTGGTATTTTGGTGGCTGCATTAAATGTGTAGATTGCTTTGGGTAGTATAGACATTTTAACAATATTTGTTAAATATCTTTAAAGTTTATTTATTTTGAGAGAGAGCAAGCGGGTTGGGGGCAGAGAGAGAGAGGGGAGAGAGAGAATGCCAAGCAAGCTCTGCACTGTCAGCGCAGAGCCCGACTCAAGGCTTGAACTTACGAACAATGAGATCATGACCTGAACTGAGATCAAGAGTCAGGCGCTTAACCAACTGAGCCACCCATCATCTTTAATTTCTTTAATCAGTGTTTTTATAGTTTTCAGAGTCTACCATCTTTATCTTTTTTACTAGACTGAATTACTTAAGAGCAAGGGTCATGTGCTAGTTATGTTAGTATATATAGCACTTAGCATTGTACCTAGTAGGTGTTTGAGCAAAATGTTTGCTGAATAAGTAAACAATCTTGTGTTTTCATCTAATACTGCCTTGCCAGGAATAGAACTATAGCAAGAATAAGTGGTATTTTGATAAGGGAATAAGATGACTAGTTCATTTCAAGTTATCAAGCAATTATTAGGCATTTACAGTTTGTGAGGTATTCTGCTGGGCATTGTGGAAATGGGAAACTAAAGTGAAGGAGAACTTTAGGGGCACCTGGGTGGCTCATTGAGTTGGGTGTCCGACCTCGGCTCAGGTCATGATTTCACAGTTCATGAGTTTGAGCCCTGCATGGGGCTCTGTGTTGATAGCTCAGAGCCTGGAGCCTGCTTCAGATCTGTGTCTCCCTCTCTTTCTGCCCCTCCCCCACTGACGCTCTGTTTCTCTCCATCTCTCGAAAATGAATAAATGTTAAAAAAATGAAAAAAAAATATAATGAAGGAGAACTTTAAGAGTTTGCAGCCTAGTGGAGAACTTCCAGTTTTGGTGAGTGGGTGGGGAATCATGGTAAGAAATACAGTGAAGACTGGTTAAGGGGACCGACCCACTGAAATAGAATTGTGAGTGGAAACGGTTGTACAGTGACTTTAAATTAACAAAGTTTATTTGGTTACAGGTGGCATTGGGCCTGCATCACAGGTTGTAGCAGATGTTCTCAACATTTCTATCGAGACTTCCTTATATCCACTTGCAAGAGGAGCCCAGGAGCCTCATCCCTGTGGTAGCTACCATTCTCTGGTATGATGCTGTGCTTTCTATTTCACCCTTTATATTCTCGCTGTTTGTTATTGCAAACAGTTATGTAGAACTGGAAGTGGAATGTTTTAATAATACTGATATTGTGATTTCTTTGAGGTTGTGTATTATGCTTTGTTATTCTTATACCTGTTCACAGAAACCCCAAATAGTGAGTGCCTTGCTCATTGTAGATGCTTAGCATTGTATTTTTGTTTGAATTGTATCTAGTTGTAAGTAGCTCCTTATTGATTATTAACAGATGCTAATCTAATTTTTATTCCTTTCAATAATAAAGAAGCACATAACATCAACTTTACTTATACTTAAAAACTATGTCTTCAGGTAATGTTGAACCAACTTCTTAACTCTTATGAAGGAGATTCATCTGGTAACTAATAAAATTCTATATCAGGAATATTTAATTACAAATTTCTGTTTTAACATGAATAAACACTATAGCTAGTAATGAAAGTATTTTTTCTTCATAAAAAATGGAAGTATTTTTCAGGATTTTAGGAAATGTCACAGTAATTTTGGCTGTAGTCATACTGAATTTAATGCTATTGAAAATGTTGCTAACATTAACAAAAATATTCTGTAATTTCCTCAGTTATTGCTACTGGTGATGAGGGATGTAAAGTTGGCATGCTTTCATGTTTTGAGCATTTTCATTATACACTTTTGATTTTTACATGTCAGAAGCAATCTTTGTTTTAGGTAAGACAGCTGAGAACATTTTTACTCAGGAATAGAGGTCAGCCTTTGACTGTTTGTATTTTTAGGTCAGGGAAAGATCAAATAAAATGAATGAGAGTAAATACATGTACAATTTTGTATGTAAGTATTATAAAATATATGTATTTCTCTGACTTTGTTTTTAGTTCATTAAAACATAGTGGTTTGGGACCAAGGCATAGGTTTCATTTCTATGTTAATAATTTTATTTTGTTATTTTCTGTGACCACTGGTCACACTCATCTTGCAGATATAAGCTGTTGTTCACCAGGGAGCTTTGGCAAGAGAATTGGCCAGATCAGCGAGTTCATCTCCCTTGGGGAAAAACAACTTGAAGCTCATCTCTGTTGAAGGTGAGTCAGTGTCATCTTCACACAGGAAAGATCACACTAGTGTTATTTGATGTTTTCAGCATTATCAAGCGATAGTTTGGTTTAAACTTTGTTTTATGGGATGTTAAACCATCATGCTTTATTACTAGAGTGTAGTGAAGATTCACACAGAAATCAACCTGACAATGAAAAGGGGTGGAAGTGACAGTTTGGTGTTTATGAATATACCTAAAAGTAGTAGGGGTACTCTTTCTTTTCTTTCTTTTATTTTTTAAAGTTTATTTATTTTTAAGGATAATCTCCATATCCAGTGTGGGGCTCGAACTTGACCTCAAGATCAAGAGTCACATGCTCCCAAGTGACCCAGCCAGGTGCCCCAATTTGAGTACTCTTTCTCACCTCCATTCTTATTTCCATATAACACATGCTAGCTAACTTATAATTCTTGACTTTTATTTGAATGAATATTGGCTAGAACAGAATCACATATGTTACTTATTTATTTTAAAATATATTACTGATTTCAGGGGCTCCTGGGTGGCTCAGTTGGTTAAGCATCCAACTTCGGCTCAGGTCATGATCTTGTGGTTTGTGGGTTTGAACCCCGCATTGGGCTCTGTGCTGACAGCTTGGAGCCTGGAGGCTGCTTTGAATTTTGTGTCTTCCTCTCTCTCTGGCCCTCCCCCAACTCATGCTCTGTCTCTTTCTGCTCTCTTAAGAATAAATAAACATTAAAAAATTTATATAAAAAATAAAATATATTACTAATTTCAGGAAATTTCAGATAACTGCAGTATCAATGTAAAGATTCTCGTCTGTTTTCAAATACATTATTTGGTCTTTCAACTGGTAGCCATTGTTGATGCTTGCCACAGGCTTTCTTTCCTAGATATACAGTGGATGACCATATATGTTTAATATTATTACAAGCGGTAGTAGTGTATCTAATAGCAATCTGTAATTCAGGTCATTATTATTTAATGCGTATTCATTAATCATTACTTCACTTTACGAATTACATTTGTGATTTGACCTAATCCTTCCTAACCATGATGTTTGTGTGTGTGTCTGCATGTGTGTAACATTGTATGTAAGTAACTTGATAACAGTTACTGATGTTGCTTTGGCCCTCTTTACTCAAGTTGTTTTCACTTGAATCATCACCAATGTCAGGTTGTCAGAGTAAATTTTCTTTTACAGTTCTGCTTTAGTACTATTCAATCTTTTTTGTTGTCACTGTTCCCTTTTAATTTTTCTTCTTTTGGGATATAAACAAATCCCAAATCAAAGACTGGTAGGACTGATGCTCACTGACTTCAAAAAACAGGTCTCTCTGTAGGGAGAGGATCTTTACAGGTACATGATGTTCCATGATTATAACCAGCCTTATCATCTATATTAAATGGCTTGTAAAAGGCCACAGAATATAAAAAGGAATAACATGGCACTATATTTGGAGAAAAGGTTTGATTGCATAGTTTTCTTTTCCTCAAAAAGGCACTCAATATTTTTGTAGGAAGATTGGGCTTTCCCTTCCCGTGCCTTATAAGTAGTTATTAAGTATAACTCATTGCGTTTTCAAAAGTCTCATTTCTTGAAAGCATTATTTTAAGATGATTGTCTCAGTATTATTGTTTTCTCATTAGGCCTAGCTCAAACATTTTCGGTTGGACTAGACTTTAGAAATTTCTTTAACATTATAGTGGAAGTTAAACTTATTTAGTGTATAAACTTGAGTTTGTCTTTACTAGAATAATTTCTATTGCAGGTGTAGTGATGTGATACTACTTTTTGAATAATTAATAATTATAATTATATAACTGTTATTAAAACTGATGTAATTTGTTCCACTCTAAGTGCTTTTTATATTTTATTATATTTTTACAACAGTTATGTGGGGTAGGAATAATTATCTCAGGTTTATAGACGAGAAAACTTAGAGCCAGAGTTCAATAATTTGCATAAGGTCAGTGAATGACCAAGGATTTCAGTCCTGAACTATGTGGCCTCAGAACTTCTGCCCAGAGCTCCTATTTATAAGTGCTGTGTTAAGCTGCTTGAAAGGTTTACTTACGCAACTTGAGAATGCGCTGTTTCACTTTTGAGGCACAGTCTGGCCAGTTCACAGTGATTTTGTACGACTGACTGAGGTATACCAAAATGTATCTGGCTGAAACATTTGCTTCTGTGACTTTATGTAGACACAATGTTGGACAGCCTGCCAGTATATTGTGTATACTTCATGTTGTGTGTATGCTGCGTGCATGTTTTCACATGTATGGGTTCTTGATAATGCTTTCTTGGAAAACTTGCTATAACTTTAGTGTCTGCCCTGCTCTTCAGGTAGTAAAATTGTTGTTTAATTTGCAAGTTTGCTAGAGCTGGAGATCCTTGTTCTGGGAGATTATTTACATGTTGATTTAAGCAGATAGGCTAAAATGGTGATATTAGTTCTCTAACAGGTGTATAATGCAATATGAAATGTTAGTGTGACCATTGTTGAGGAAAGCCATATTACATAGATTGAATAGACATTCTGGAAACCTATGATCCCATGATTTTTCCCTCCACAAACAAGAGAAACCATTGAAGGATTTTAAGGTACAGATTGTGTTCTCTTTAGCATAATACAAGGTTTTCTGTTAGTGGTCCATTCCCTGTTGTCTCAAGCTTGCCTCCGGCAGCCCTCTTCCTTACTCCCCCATGTCATGTATACTCCTTACATGTCTACCTCAGTTAAACCGAGAACCTTATATTTTATATTTATGTACCTTTATATTTTATTGCACTTATTATATCTCTCTAGACTATAGATTTCTTTCTTTTTTAAGGATTATTTATTGATTTATTTATCTGTTTTGAGAGAGAGAGAGAGAGAGACAGAGAGAGAGAGCATAAGCAGGGGAAGGGCAGAGAGAGGGAGATAGAGAGAGAGAATCCCAAGCAGGCTCTGCACTGTCAGCACAGAGCTCCAAACTCCAGAACCATGACATCATGACCTCAGCCAAAATCAAGCGTCAGAAGCTTAATCAACTGAACTACTCAGGCGCCCCTAGACTGTTACATATCTTAATGGCAAGCGCAAAGGCTATGTGTTTAATTCATTTTTATATCCCCAGGGTTTAGTACAATTCCTGGTACATATAGATGCTTAATAAGCATTTGTTAAGTGAATGAATTAAACAGATGGGTAACCTACAAGGAAAGAAAAGATTTTCCTCACAGTTGGTGTGATAATGGAGATAAAATGAATTCCAAGGTGGAGTGCTACTACACTTTTCTGGGATATTCAGTGTTATAAACAGTATTGTTCCTGAAGTCTCACCATAGTCATACTAGCTTCCTTGAGGCAGTATAGTGTATGTCTGCAATTTTGTTATCTTGAACAACTAACCACTTATTGGAAATTTACCCATAAAATTTCAATAGTTGAATTTTTTCTGAAATAATATATTTTAATAATAAGTGTAATACATCTTGACTTAAGGACTCTATTAATTCCCTTAAGGAGATCCACATGTGCTTTGGTATAATGATCAGTCTAAAGTTGGAAAAGGATCCTTCTGTTTGAAAATGATGAAAAATAAGTGAAAGAATGAACCTGTTTCTTATCACATTTAAAGTTTCATGGGATGCCTGGGTGGCTCAGTCGATTAAGTGTCTGACTTCGGCTCAGGTCATGATCTCACCATTTGTGAGTTTGAGCCCCTTGTCAGGCTGTGTGCTGACAGCTCAGAGCCTGGAGCCTGCTTCAGATTCTGTGTCTCCCTCTCTGTACCTCTCCCATGCTTACATTCTGTGTGTCTCTCTCAAAAAATAAATAAACATTAAAAAAATAAAGTTTCATTTGCTTCAGAGGTTTTATTTTTTTTAAATGTTTATTTATTTTGAGAGAGAGAGTGTGAGCGAGCGCACAAGTGGGGGAACGGCAGAGAGAGAGAGACAGAGAGAGAGAGAGAGAGAGAGAGAGAGAGAGAGAGAGAGAGAATCCTAAGTGGTCTTAGTGCTCTCAGGACAGAGCTCCGTCTCACCAACTGTGAGATCATGACCTGAGCCAGAATCAAGAGTTGGACACTTAACCGACTGAGCCATTGTCTAGGCACCCCTAAAGTTCTATTTGCTTTAAAACTGTAATTCTTATGTCATGTAATCCTGATTAAAATGGTTATGATGGCCAGTATTATCAGAATGACAGATTCTAACATAGGTTAGTAGTTTTACATTTAGAAAAACACTAATTTATCATATTACCTTTTTAGTTATATGCCGAACTTTGGGTTGATTTATATTTTGTTTATTTATAATTTAATAAGATTATATTAGTTAGAGGTTAAATGTTCTTTGGCCATCAGCTTACATTAGTTTTAACTAAGGGAATGTTATACAATGAAGATAGTAAAAGGAAGCTTATGGCTTCTGATATTAACTATATTATGTTAAGTGATTTTATTTGTTTTAGGCTATATAGAAACAACTTATGAAAATGTACTGAATTAAAATTTGCTATGCTGAAACAGCATATTCACTAAATAAATAAAATGAGGTGTGCGTGAAGGGAGTTGGATGGAATGTAATTTTCTTTGCTCAAGCTATAAACAGTAAGACTTTTTAAAAAACGTTTATTTATTTAGTGAGAGAGAGTGTGTGGGGGAGGGACAGAGAGAGTAGGAGAGAGAGAATCTGAAGCAGGCTCCATGCTGACAGTGAAGAGCCTGAAACAAAGCTCGATCCCATGAGCCATGAGATCATGACCTGAGCTGAAACCAAGAGTCGGACACTTAACTGACTGAGCCACCCAGGGACCCCAAACAGTAAGACTTTTAATTTTGTGGGAAGACATTAAATACTCTGGTCATTCAACTTGTATATCCTTTAACCTATTTAATAGTCAAAAACTTGTAAGTAAATATGTGTGCTGCTGAGAAACAGTGATCAAAAATGGCAACAAAAGTCACATAATGAAAAAGAATACTAAAAAAAAACCCAGGGATTTTACTGTAGCTCATTATTCACTACATTTCT